CCACGTCACCTTGTAGTGAAATTTGAGCCAGGCACCCTAGAGTCAACCACTTTATGATAATCTAAACATATCTGAATCTATAGAAAGACTAAAGAAAAATCTGCTGGCACTACTCATGCCAGAATTTCATTTCAGATCAATCTGCAGACATTCGGTTAATCACATTTTTGCTATGCCATAAAGCTGCAAGCACCGAGTTGGTTTGGGAACTGTATTTAAGATATCAAATCTTGACAACCAATTGCGAGCAATGCTGAAAGCTCCAAGGAACCTAAAAAACAAGTTAAAATTTGAAGCCTACACAGCAGTAGAAACAATTGAGTACTTCATGCTGTTAATGTACCACAAAAAAATCTACACGCGTATCACAACAAAGGGGCAAAAGGATTTAATCTTATTTGTGCATTTTGAGGATTTTGCTCATTTTACTAGGTCCTGAAATACCTGTCACACGTAATTCACCATGGCTGATTACAACATGAAGGCTTGAATTAGTAAGAAGATACAATCATATTTGTGTTCTCTCAATGACAGAAAGACTACAGTGCAAGAAAGAGGCTAGTTGCATTGGACCACAGCTGACCATCAAAACAGAGTATGTCTGTCTTCCCTGGACTACCCTTGCTACCCTTGCAGCATTTGCACCGCGCATTCACCTTTGCTACAATGGCAAACACAGTGCACCGAACTGTGAACACTATTTATCTGGCTGGTATATCTTCCTTTAGGAGGAGAGACTTTTAAATACTGGTTCCGTTCCTCCACATCTTCAACTGTTACTAAGACTTACTCAATATACAGCCATATTTAAACCAAAATACCGGATTTAAATACCAGTGAGTTTTGTGCATCTCTGCAATTGAAACAAATACATAGTTCAAAACTGATTGACAAGGGGGCAGCTTTTTTGCATGTATATGCAGTGACAGCCACCCAGGCTATGACAATTTATGCTAGGTGAGGCACTCTCTCTGCATATTCTGCACATTAGACTGCTGGTCATATGCAATCTAAAACAAAGTAATGGAAGGTAACGTCCCTTTCTCCCTTCTTTTCTCTAATCAGCCATTGTTGTAAGCCAGTACCAAGGGTCTCTAAGTGACCAAAGATCACAGTTGTCTATTTCCAGTGCAAACAGTCTACTTCATCCTTTCTTTTCCTAGAGCCTGAATCATAAGAATCAAGGTAACAGTTTCCTTCATAATGGAAGGCAGAAAACTAATTTATCCTGGATCTGCCATTCTGTAAAAGAAGCCTGTGGCCATCATTAAGAGGTGGATGCAATTCGTTTCAGCTGGCACCATGACATAATGTCTTAACATTTTGTCACTTACCCATGAATCCCAGTAACAAGGAAGATAAGGTTGCCATTGATCTTGGTACAGTTTATGAACTTGTCAATGTTGCTGGAATCCACCGTCTGAGCTGACACTAAACTCCCTGTCCCAATGCCATCACATGCTGCCAAAACAAGGAGTTTGTGTAAAGAACTAGGAAAAACAATTACTGAATCAAAACATGTTGGCCTTCTAGACATGAGTCATCATTTCTTTCAGAGATAAAGCAGCAGAGAGGTGTTAAAATGGCACCCTTTACCCATATTCCAAAAGAAGCACAAGTCAATTTAAAACAAACAATAAGCTAAAAGTACCTGCTACAGAAGGACATCCTGGCACACAGGTTAATGTATTTCACACTGGATCTAAAGGCAAGTATGAACCACACAAAATCCCTCTCAAGCCAGCTGTAAACATAGTTGATAACTTAGCTCAGACTAGCCTCGTGGCCATACCATTTATTTGTGCACTACTCACTGCAGAAACTGAGGGGTCCTCACACTGCTAGCTCAAGAAGTCTCTTTTGCTCTGGATTTGTGGATTTGTGAATTTAACCATTCACGTGCCATAAGGTCCTTTAGAAAGGATGTACAAATAATTCTTCACCCATCACCCCAACAAATTAAGTTACTGGGGCCCGGAGAAACTTTCGTACCCAGTGAGGAAGCTTCTCCGTGTAGCCTTTCTATGTAATTTAGTTGCATTTTCTGGGACACATGATGTATCCAGGAACAAATGTTTCATGGTTGACATTAGGTAATGTATCCTGTCTCCCTAACTGGGCTCCTCTAATGGCAACTACCAGCAGTACACCTGAACCTTTTACACACGTGTGACAACTCTCCTTCTCAGAGTAAGGCTATGAACTCGACAGGAACACTACATGTGCATTTTAATGCATAAAACCTTTTCCCAGCATAAAAGCTATTTACTGCAATTAGGTCAAAGGGCTGGACGTTGCCATCACTTAGAATTCAGCATGTCAGTACCCTGCCTTGGCAGAGATCTCTCTGTTTGACTGTTACAGTTGTGTGGAGTGACTGTTGATTTAGAGTGTTTCAGTAGCTTCACCGTGAATTCCCTTCCAGACATGGCTTCCTCTAGGGCTGAAAAGTGGCATAGGCCCGTGATGGTGCTCTGCTCCTGAGACCTTCAAGCAGGCAGCAGAAAGTCTCCCTAGCGGAGCTTGGGATAGCAAAGTAACCTCTAAGTTTCAGTCTTCTCAACAGCACCAACACTGAAAAACCTTTAGTGTATGTTTCAGACACTTAGAAAGGAGATAGAAGATTCTGAGAACGCGGAGACATTTTTAAAAAACAGAGGAATTAAATGGAAACCTAACGTTGTATTGACAAGTATGAGACATACCATACATTGAAGCCAGGGCTTTGGTATGGTTCCCTTTGAAATGACAAAAGGACAGCTCTAACACACCTCCACGAAATACTTGTGGTTAAAATAACACATTAAAGAATTCTTTTGGATTTCTGTAAAGCCAACAGAGAAATCCCCTTCATTTTTACCTAATCAAAAGTAATTGGTTTGGTTATATTACCATTACAACAAAATAAATTTTCATTCCATTGTATATACTTCGCACACAGTCTACATAGCTCAAAGTTCTGTGGATATAAAAAGGCTACTAATATTCTATGGCATACTCATGAAGGGTATTTCATGTCAAAATAACACCTTGCTCTGCTCTACTACAGCACAGACCACATTCAAGAAAATTTATACTAAACTACTGGTTACCTTTAGGACAAATATCAGTGCAGGGCTTGCACATCTTAATACCATTTTCTTCAACCTCCATCTTGGAGCTCGGACATGCACGGACACAAGAGCTAGAATCCACCACAAAGTTGTCTGAAGAGAAAAAGCAGATATTGGTAGAAAGCAAACCACTGGGACTAAATAATACCGGGACATATGTTTTTGGACTCTATGTCAATCCATATTATTAACGACCTCAACACTTCCACATTAACATTTGATGTTCAGTGTTTTCAGAAGTGTATAAGTCAGCAAATTAGGCACGTTTTCAGAGACTTACGAAATTCCATGAATTGTCAGGCCTGATCCCCCCTCATTCCCCACATTGGTTTTATCATTATTTGTGGTAAAAAAGCTACAGTAATTGGAGAGAAATAAACCAAGATGCTCTACTTAGCCTCTTTCATATAAACACAAATATATACATCTGGTATAAAGCACTGCACAAGACAATGAAACATATATCCATTTTGCCTTGTAAAACAACTGCCAAAGGGGATATAGACTGATCCCACCTAACTGAAAACTTAAAAATGTGAAGAAAGGAAGAGAAAAGTTCAATGAAGTATTTGGACAAAGAATCATTTCCCTTAAGTAGTGCATGGTACTACTACATGGTTTTGGAAAAAAAAATAAAAATAATTGTGCTTCAAAAACCCCACCACTTTAATAGAAACAGAACTAAGCTGTGACAGTCACAGCCTCAGCCTACTGTCATTTTGAACTTCTTCACAGAGATTCAAAACTTGGATTTTGCTTTGGGTTGAATTATGGTTCAATTTATTATAGAATACTCATCCTTCTTACCTGTACTTTATGTAAAAAATAATTAATACACAACAGAACTGTAAGCCTTGGTGGGAATGAAAGGGAAAGCAAGAATACTGTCTTCCTTATTTTTCTTTCTAACTACAACAGCAGTATCAAAGACTATGTAAGTGAAGACCCACTAAATTTTTCTGTTACTTGTCATCTGTCTGGCATCTCAGAAGCATGTGTTTTTCACATGCACGGGATTATTCTTTTTTTAACTCCCTCCTCCCCTCTAATTTTACTCTGGAGTTTTAAGACTGTATTGTTGTCAATATTGCATAGTTTTTCTTCACTGGAACAGAACTGATCAGGAAATATTTATGGTAACTTTCTGTCAAACCAGCATTATTCCAAGTTAAGAAAAGGACATTAGTATCATGAAAGCATCTGGTGCCAGGCAGTACAGGTGGTGGACTGTTATTTTTCTGAAACAGAAATTTCTACTCTTTTTCAATCCCACTAACTAATATAGCCCTTTGGCACTATTTTAACAGTTCATTTTAAAATTTCCAAATGCTGACCTAAAGCATGCATGTAACAGGTGGTGGTCAAGAAAACAAACCTAGCGAATCCCCTTTCTTTAAGAAGATCACTATAGTAAAGGATACTTGGAAAGTGTCAGCAACTCAGAATGTCACTGCTTTTAGTTAACACACGACTGAGTTATTACAGGCTGTAAGCACACGTGGAGTGATTTGACATACTGCACTATGCGCTTAGCTCTCATTCTCTCATTGTTTCATAAGGCTCCTGAAATGCAACTCAAACTTTCCATCACTGCAGGAAAAGGCAGCTAACACAGCACTTACGTGGGCACTTTTTGACGCAAAAAGCTCCATAGGTGTACTTGGCATTGTGATTATGCTCCAGTTGGAAGGTGGTGGGATTGTATACAAAAGTCTGGGGGCACTGCGTGACACATGCACCGCTATCGTTGAAATTCATACAGGCCTGCAAAGCAAGGGAGAAAAAATATTAAATTAAATCATATAGCTGGTTTTTTTTTCCTTTTTAGTTTAAAATACAATCCTGATTGTTCAGACTTGCTGCAACAATGAGAAATGTGATATATAGTTTTCTAATCTTCATTTTGACTACTTAGATTTCTTGCTAGGATCTTGGCCAATACACGATTTATAAAAGGGGGCTCACTGAGCCCTCTTAATTTGAAACACAGTTGACTGTTACAGCACTTCCTACAAAACCATAACACTGTAATTTGTTTCATAACTATTGTTACTACTAGCAATCAACTAATTCACAACTCGATAGGACATTCTAAAACTGCCAAGAGTGAACGGCTATTTATCATAGTCAATCTAAACAAATGCTAATGACTTTTTCAGAGGTCCAACCTTTAGATTTCTTACAGCATGAGTCCATCATCCAGCTGAAAACTGAAATTCCCAATTAGAAAGCAAGAGGGATAAGAACTTCTTTTGAGCTAGCACAGGAGGGGGTCATTTCCCTAAGTGGCAAGTTTAACAAGGTCAGTTGCTTCACACACTGAGAAAAGAAAATAGGACTTTGTATCACTTAGCATTCAAGTTCAGCCACCCACAGCTGACAGAGGACAGAGCCCTGACAAATGAAGAGGCAAGTGTGTGGATAAAGAGAATAATGGTATGCAGGGAAAATAATTGACCGTGCAAGGTTGATAATTAGTAATAGAAAAACCCCACCGATTTTGACATTCCTTATCACCACATATTGTGTCTATGGTTTTAACCACAGCTTATAAAAAACTGTTGGTGTAATATTCACAAAGCATACCATAAATGTCAAATTTCATGTGAACATGAAAGCTGTAGTCTGGCTTGGATCCCTCTAGCAGTTTAAGCAACCACTGCTACTGGATGCTGCTTCCCCACTAACCTGTTTTCCAGAGGCCAGGTTGCTTTAGAAGTTTTAGTCTGGGGCTGAATCTTCTGGTCCTTTTCCAGGTTGTAAAAAATACAGATGTTTTTGAATCTTTAAAGAGTCAAGAAGTACACCAACATGTGTGTCATGTCCCATCCCCCCCCAGGGCAGACAGAGAAAAGTGAAAAAGATCCCTCTGTTGTTCTGCTTTTACTAACAGTCCTTATCTCCATTCAGATCAGGACCAGCAAGACTGAGGGAGGTTACTTGGCATGTCAGAAGATTTCAGAAGGTAGAGTCTAATAACGTAACCAAGGGAGAAGGACAGAATCTGCTGCTGAAAGGGACAAACAGGGAGTTCCATGATGAAGGCACTGTCCTGTTCGGAGCATAAGCTAAGCCAAACTGCTGATCCTCTCTTTTCTGGTTCTTTAAAATGCATATTACAAAAACTGGCAGTTTCTCACAGAACCAGATTTTTTTTTTTTCTTACAAAGATAAACACAGGGCTGTGTCAACTTTTCTGGTTCCACTGTGCACTTAACCAGGCCCTCCTATGCATTTCAAGTTTTAGATCCAGTTTGGTTTTGAATGCAAGATAGTAACATCTCTCCAACTTTGTTTAGCATGTTTGCTTGCAGTTATGTCAGATGATGATTATTGTCTCACTTTTAGAACTCAATATACAAATGATTGTATGGCAGCATATGGAGGAAGATGGATGAATTTTATCTAGAAATATTAAAACCGTATTTACAACAGGATACTGCTGCAAGCTGCCATAATACACTAAAGGATTTGTAATGCTTCATACACTGTACTTTTGCTTATTAATAAATACTAATTTAGTGTGTTTCCTCAACACATTTTCTACATCCATTGTTGACTTCAATGGTACTCTACCATGTACATGACAATCCTCTGATAACAGTTTGGCAAATTCGTAAAGTAAAGCACACCAATACTCCGGAGAGATGGCACATCTCTGGAAAAGCTCATCTAGAGGATTTGGGATCTTTTAATTTATGATATAATGCTTTGTATGCATTTGTAATTGCTTCGATAATATATGCAAACTTCTAGCATTTAGTGCTAAATGCCACTAATTTGTGAATGAAAGCACAGGAAAATACACAGAGAGAAAACAAAGCTCTCTATCTCAGCTGAAAGCTAAGCACAGTTGTCTACAGCCTAAAGGGTTACACTTTTCACCCAGCGTGTACTAAGCAAGTAATGACTAGTCCTGAAAACTGCCAGACCCCTGCTGAATTTCTTTTACATTGCTCTGGGGCCAGGAGTGAATGAGAATAAAGCCCTGGGTGCTTCTCTGCTGGATCAGAAGAAACAGGCTAGTTGATTTTTAGCACACATATTTCCATAACTGCCATAATTCAGAAAGTCTAACTCATTTTTTTTTTTCAGGCTGCAGTATTGCAGAACTTGTGCTGCAAGTAATTTGTCCTTAACTTTTGAAAATGGACACATATCAACACATCAGCTTTGAGGATGTTCCTCAACAGTCATAGGGAAACAATAATTGCATTTTTCTTGTTTCCTTCACCTATTTCAATTGTACATGACAATGGAAAGATTATTATTTTCCCATTTCTCAAGTCCAAAGCCAAGACAGAACTTTCAGCGAGCATTGGATCAGGTGTACCACGTGTGCCGAGCATCTACTTGTGCAAAGCCCCAGCCACAAAGAATAGATTTAGTAAAACCTGTTAGCAGTTAAGTCAGGCCATCACTGCATTTCATCGTCAGCAAAAGAATGGCATTTAGAAACAACTACCACTATGAAACAATACCTGAATAGTGAGCAAGTTTCAGGTCCAGCCAGGGAAAGATTAATTTTTGCCAGTTCATTATTGATCCACTTGCCTACACTATCAAAGCATCTGCAATTTCCCGTACCATAAGATCTCTCCTTCCAATCCTATCTGGCAGCTTTTAAAAGTAGCCTACCCAAGTTTGTAGGTATTTGTCTCTTCAATCACTTGGGTACCTCTGAAAATCCACCTGTCCGTGCATGTTCTAGTTCTAGGCTTCTTTAGGCCTAGGTTTGCTTCCCCTGAAAACATTAGCAAAACTTATCTCTGCAACCCCGTGTGATGAGCTACACAATTTTTGAGATCAGTGTTGGGTTCTGAAGCTGCTAACACGATTATAAATAATGAACTACAAACAAGACAAATTTGTCTAAAGCCCTGTATGTGCAGATTGTCTATTTATTTCTCTTTTTAAGGAAAAGGTTAGTCTGTTCCTTGTTTCATCTGAAGCACACGTAGCAGCATGCATTTGAGGTAGAGTATTTTGGAAACCACTTTCCTTACATCTCCACTAAGAAGCATGCCCAGTAAAAAAGCTGAATTTAAATCAAGTCTGGCAGTAATAGAGAACACCTTTCACAGAGAAGCTAAATTGTATTCTTGACTTTCAAATAAAAAGCACACAGAGCAGTAATAAAAGCCATGCTCAAATGTAATGATAAATACTTCTAAAAATTCCCTATCACCTCTAAAAGTTAATTTTAGAAAAGCAAAAGATAAAAATCACAGAGATTAGCATATTAATGGTTCTCAATCTGTATTTACAAATCTCATAAATCTCTTAATGGGTAATAATAAGTAGATAAGTGATGTTAATGTAATGTGAAAATATTAAATGCTAAAATTTGCAGTCTAAATCTGGGAGTATGTACGCAATACATTAAAAGGGACAAAATTGTGAATTTCATGGATTAAAGCATTAAGTATTTGCAGTGCGACTGCCAGGAACAAGAAAAACGAGAAGTCTCACACATACAAAGCAATCAGTGTCTTTAGGTCCGGAACAGCCTCCAGCACATTCCCGGTGGCAGCAGTCGCTGACGTAGGGCCCATAGCACCGTCCATCACACTGCTCTGCACACACTGTCTTCGTTACTAGGAAGAGGCAGGAAAAATTATCACGTCAGAATCAGAACTAAGGAGAGAGCTCTTCAACTGCACACTGAGAAAAACAACAAACCGAACAGCATACTGAAAAAACCCTCAAGTTTTAAGGTCTCTTTAGGAACATATATGCTGCTCGAAGCCTGCGGAGGAAGACTTTTTACAAGTGTTTGCTCTTACCCTTGGAAATTCAGGTCAAATATTATTTTCAAATTATTAGTTTCTCTAAACAGCTAATGGAAGGATATGAAAAAAAAAACCACCCTACAAAACAACAGGAGACCTCACCACTTCCATGTGAGTTTCCCCCCATGAAGAACAGCAACACTGAGTAAATGAGAGAAATTGAGTCACGCCAGCAATCTGAGAGCCAAATGTTGCTCTCGATGGCAACCAACCTGACAAATAGGTAATGAGATAAGAGAACAAAATACAACCTGCAGATTGGAACACATTTGAAATACCACTTACCTTTTCTAAGTAACACAATCCAGCCCTCATTCACAGGGAAACAACTATATTCTACCAACTGGAAATCACAGTGATTTAAATGGTACCACACAACTGTGCCTCATGGCTTAGTCTTGTGCAAAAAATGGTCAAGAAGTGGAGCATCTTCCTCCCCTCACTTGGCTATAGCCTCTATCTTTATTTTATGTAAAAAGAAATTAATGTTATCCACAGGACTATACCAACCACCGCCTATAGAATGCCCGGAAGCTGTGCTGTCAGCTACCTTTTGATAAAAGCAGAGATGTTACACTGTAATTAACCTTTACCGTTTATTTTGTTAAAAGCATTTAATTACTTCTCTACGGAAAACACTTTTTCAAGACGCCAGAGAACACAAAATTCCATGCAACGTTCTGCTCAAATCTACTATTTAATGTATCGGTAACTCCTTTATAAGTACGTTCCAATCCAAATTCTCTCTGGTACTTGCCAGAAATACTTAAGGTAATGCCAAAGCTTCTTGATATACACAATATTTATTTAGGAAATAAAAATCTAAATAACCAAAAAGAAGTCATCATTTATAACCTACAGAATAAAGTGATGCACTTTTAGAGTAATTCCATCTTGCTGATACCAGAGGCAAATTCCCAGACAGAAAACACTTTAGTGGCTTATGCAAAGTAAGAGAAATTTCTGAAAATGCACTTGCTGTCAACACTGCTAGAGAAACAGATTAAAAGGATTTGTTTATTTAAGTAACAATATAGATAAACATTATGACAGAGATATGAAACAGTGGCATATGTTGAGCAAAACACACGTTGCAATATGCCAGCACCACACCATTAGCTGATAGGGACAGAGTCTCAACTCATGAAAATGAACGAAGACCTCATTTAGTCAGTGACTGCATATTGTTCTCTGCCAGCTCAGAAATTGCGACATAGTGCCCTGAATTGCACTGGACCTGGCACTATCTGTTTTGACCTCAAGGGAGGTGAGACCCAGATTTATCCTGACTTGATGGAAGACCCAATTTACCAGAGGCTCCCCCTCTGCTATCAGTGCAGAGGTATAGAAGCAGAGGACATTCATTTCCTTCCATCCCAGGACTCAAATCCTTTGTGGTTACCTGTGTCACTCCTCAGACAAGGAGTTGGCCCCCAAGCCATCCAAATACTCTGCCTCTGTTTTACACAGCAACCCTTCATGACCATGCATACCTCATTTTTTTAAATGACCTCTCCTCTGCCACCACTTTCTGCCCCTCGGGCTAGCATTACCACTGCCAGTGGCAGAGCAGGTCCCAAGGCCATACATTGAACCACTCCTTGTGGCAGCAGCACAGGGGCACTAAAATGGCGGCCCCTTGCCAGTGAGCATGCTCAGTGTGCCCCACCCAATGCACAGGCTCAGTGCCACCTTCTAGAAGGTTCTGCAGGCACTGGGCATGGTGTCCGGGCTCCCCTCAGCAGGACAGGGGGCACTAAAATGGCGGCCCCTCACCAGTGAGCATGCTCAGTGTGCCCCGCCCAAAGCACAGGCTCAGTGCTCCCTTCTAGAAGGTTCTGCAGGCACTGGGCATGGTGTCTGGGCTCCTGACAGCAGCACATGGGGCACTAAAATGGCGGCCCCCCACCCAGATTTAGGGCGCTCCCTCACCAGTGAGCATGCTCAGTTTGCCCCGCCCAATGCACAGGCTCAGTGCCCCCTTCTAGAAGGTTCTGCAGGCACTGGGCATGGTGTCTGGGCTCCTGGTAGCAGGACAGGGGGCACTAAAATGGCAGCCCCTCACCAGTGAGCATGCTCAGTGTGCCCCGCCCAATGCACAGGCTCAGTACCCCCTTCTAGAAGGTTCTGCAGGCACTGGGCATGGTGTCCAGGTTCCCCTCACCAGCACCACCCCACCTATCACACCTTAAAAAATTACAGTGTACCAGCAGCATATTTCTTGGGGGTTTTTTGTTTGTGAGGGGTTTTTTTGTTTTGGGGTTTTTTTTATTTTTAATTGCACTAGAGGCAGAGAGCTTAGGAGCTGATTTTCAGGTGGATACAGTCAACACATTACAACAGGAAAAGAGGACATGATACCACACCACAGCCGCTCACCAGCAGGATGCTGTTAAAACCCATTCCTCACTGTTGCTCCACAGCAATTTAACATTTTGCTTAAACGTGGGAAGTTTTGGTGTAAAGCACCTCTGTGGAAACAATTAGTACAAGCCACCTAATTAACTCAATTATAATTTATTTACCTCAGTGCCAGCTGCTAGTGGGAGTGGGTCAAGATGTCCACCATCACTATATAGCCATTGCTTCCCTATGGAGGGGGTCTCCTGGCAGACTTTTAAAAGGGCAAAGAGGCCAAAGCCCAGCAGCAAGTCCCATTCCCAAGAGGTACTGGCCTCCTCCACCAAAAAAAAAAAAAAGGTACTGGCCTCCCAAAAACCAAGCCCTGAGGAGGTGAATCCCCTGCCTCGAGGTGAGGAGGGACCTGTCTCTCCCATGCCTGGGTGTCCATGCCCACAAACTGCACTGACCACCCCGGGCATATTTAGAAAAGGCACAGTCATCTTGTCAACTCGCAAGCTATTACTTTTAGCGAGCCAAGATCTATATTTGCAGGATTATACACTTTCAAGCTGAGCTGCAGATAATAGCACTTCCCTAGGCTGCATAGCTTAAGAGCGGTGGGGAATGAGCTCCAACAGCAGCAATGGATTTAAGCAATTCACTGACATCTTTTCATCAGTTTTCACACTATTAGCGTAGGACAAAATCATCTAAATTATTAACCCTCCTCTAGAGCCCCATAGTAAGGCTTGTGCAATGTATAAAAAGTTACACATATGGTCATTTTTTTAAAAAAATCCATAACTTTGTAAGAGACTACAACAATTTATTCCAGAGTATGTTTCCTTCTTAAAAAAAACAAGAGCACCCCCTGCACCAGGGCTGACCTGAAGGGGTACGGCCCCCTTTTCAGCACGATACTTAAACAGATTGCCTTCAAAAAGCATACTCTGCTCATGATTAGGCACCAGATTAATGAGGGCCTCTACCATGCTGTTCAGGATGGGGAACATTTTGAGTTTTCCTGAAGACTAAGAAGTTATAAAGTGGTTTGCAAAATTTACAATTACAGCAAAGGTTTGTCACTGTTCTTCCCCAATTGTTTATTTTGCTGGGAAAGCAAACAATGCCAACAGAAATGCCAACATTTCATTCTAGGAAAAGGCCACAACATACTATATTTGTCTTCTGGTTCACTGCATGCTATATTTGCATTATAACTGCTATCGAGGGTCCAGCTCTGAGGAGGACCTGTCAGATATCTTCAGTGGCACCACACACCCAGACAGAAAAGAACTTAGCTGGCTGTGAATGTTTTTAAGGACTCGTATTCAAGACAGTTTGCAATGAAGGGTTTTTCCCAAAGCAAAGCAAACACAAGGCAATATTATGTATTGGTTGAAGCCCCAAAACAATCTGATTGTTCAGATTCCAATAAACATAACTGAACAATTCAGCTTCCTGCAATCATTATCACGGGGTAACCCTATAGAAGAGGTACATAGCCGCATTGTTTTAAAAAGATAGCAAGGTTTTTCCCCAAAAATCTTTCCTCCAAATGCAACCAATTGATTTTATATCTGTGACTCAAGACCTATCCAAAAGAGTGAAATGTAAAGGTAAATATTACCCAAAATGGCAAATTTTATGTTCAAGCTGATGAATGTTGGAGGGTGGCTCCTAGATGGGATACGTGGCTCAAGATGGTGCCGAGAAGAGAGCGGGGACACATGGTAGGGAACTGGGCAGCAGCTACAAACAGGCAGTGTCAACCCAGAGCAACCCTGCTGCAGAGGGAAGAGTGGAGCAATACTGACCTCCTCCTGCTGCTACCTAGTGTGCAGACTGTTCACAGAGGATCTGGTGGACAGGAGCGATCAGGAGCTCTCACATCACATCCTTCATGCAGCCCAGACACACATGTGACATCCAGAAGTTCTGGGCTGGGACCCCAGAGGAATTTTAGGTGCCAGATACTCATTTCTTCACCCAACATTACTGTGAGGAGAGCCTTCACTAATCACAGCTGAGGCCCCAAGTTTCAAACCAGACTTCTGACGGTCAGCACAACTACCCACCCTGATGCCTACTGACCCTTTGTTGGATCCCAAGATATCTGAGGGTTTAGCTGCACAGAACTGTCACAGTTGGGGCTGGGAGAGCAAAGGAGAGTGGCAAACACCGCAGTCTTGAAAGAACGTGCCATGTGTTGGGATGGGTTTCAGGGGGAGTGCAGAACACTGACTGTCAATCTCTGCTAGTATTTCACTGCGATAAAGCAATAAGCTATGTTGGGGATGGGGTGGAATGGGCACTTCATATATGGGTGCAATTAATCAGTCTCTCTTATTGTTTCCCTTAATCTTTAATTATGTCAGGGCACTATAAATCTGTGAAGAAAAAATTGGGAAGTAACTGAAGTCAATGAAAAAGTCTTATGAACATGCAAAGTTAGGAGAGGAATACAAGGATTTTAATTAAAGATGCTAGCTCCAAGCAAAAATGCTGGGTTACTCTGATTGATCTAAGCTGCTGGTTCAGCTCCTTCTGTCTCCCCCACCAGGCTCCCGCTTGCCTTTTGCTGGTCTAATTGGGTACTTACTGCATCGGCACCTTCTTTCCTCAGCAGCATCAGCTGCCCCAAGACTGTATAAATACAGTTACACTCAGGCCAAACTCCTGTACACGTGCACAGTCATGGAGCATTTTACATTTGCTGAATGTTTATGTTTTGGGTTTGATTTAAAGGCTATTTGCCTTTTTTGCATTGCCTTAGTTGGGCCTATATTTTAATTTAGATTTTTCTCTTTTGTTTCAGTTACATTCCTCTTGGACAAAATGCATAATCTGTCATTTTAATAAAATAATGTATTTAATTTGTAAAAGTTTCAATTTCTTTTCATATGAAAAGTAAAAAAAACCCCAAACTCTTAACAGGCATACACAGGAAAAAAAAAAACCCTAACCATAGATTTTCAAATTTGATTAGTAAGTTCCAAAAGCATTTGTTCTTGTGTTTTTTTTAAAATGTGGTTTACATACTAGTCACTCTTTGAAAATAGATTATTTTTTAAAGTATTTCCACATTAGCCTTTCCTGACATTGAAACAAAGAATACCATCTAGCTTTTAAATGTTCAATATTCACTAATAATTTAATTATGAAACAAAACTGGATTAACAGCATAAATTTACATATTTTCTACCTCCTAATAGAACACCTTATTTTAAATTTCCTATTAATTGTTTTCTTAAATACGTACATTTTCTTGTCACATTTAGAGAGACATTAGGACAGAGGTAGATGCAGGTGGTGTTTCAGATAGAGTTAGAAGTAGAGAGAGACATTGCTGGAAGCTAGGTAGATGATAGTCATGCAAAAAAACCAAAAGGATTTGTATTTTTTTCCATATGTAATTTGAAATGAAAGACATGGATTAAGATCTTTCATTTTTTATCCTTTTCCAGGAAAATAATTTAAATCTTATCTTGGGAGGGGGGCTCGTTAGATTTTTTCCCTTCAGTGACTCAATTGAAAAAAAAAAAAAAGGAATTATTAAAAGGCAGACTTACCTTTGAGTTGGTTCTAGGAACAAAATAGTCTGACACTGGGATGGAGCACTGCTGAAGTATTTTCCAACACACGTTTGAAAGATGTACATCCCCAAGGTGACTAGGTTAAGGTCTACACTATGTTTGTGATATTATTCATCCTATCTCCAGCTTGTATCTAAGAATAACATTTATGAGCTTGAAAGCCGAGCATGTTTAAAGTCAGAAATGAAGGCAGCAAAAGCATAGCACCACTTGCATTTTTATGTTTCGAGTCCATACTCATATTCTTATTCTTTGCTTCAGTTTGCAGAAAAACACATTTTGAGAAAGTGCAATGAAGAAATGCCCATTGCCAGCCTAATATTCAGTCTTTTCCTTAAATCCTGCTGTTTACCCAAGATGCAGTGAGGTCAGGGAAGCAAAGAGGAAGTATACGACATAAAATTAACTCCTGTCCTTGACAATCAGAGGCTGCAGAGTGTGCTCGAAGGTAAAAGGCTGTAGAGTAGCTATTTCAATTTAGAAATGTGTGATCTGTGTATCTCCCTGGAACTTAGATGGCACATGTTTTTCCGTAGTTTATTATTTTAAATCCACTGTTGTGCCTTTGCCTGTCCCCACTGTTTGGATTTGAGAGGGCAGTCACTGTGAAGAGAGAGATAGCTGTCACTCCTGGAGCAAACCTACCGTGCAGCTCTGCTAAGCTTCTGACTTCACAACACTGCAGATAAGTTTTTCTCTCTCTGGTATTACTACATAAATCCACCAAATCAGTTTACTTATCTGAGAGCAGTGCTTTGGAGAGGTTGAGACCATGGGAGCTGATCCTGCCACCTAGACTTCTGCAGCCACACAGAGTCCACTTGGACTTTCTGACTTTACCGAAGGCTGGAGCTTCCGCTTGCTGGCACAAAGGTCTGAGCCAGGACCATACCATCCTAATATAAGTGCCAAGGTTTTACAATATTCTTGAATAAGCTAACCACATAATGCCTGAGTAAGTCTACTCAAGGTTGGATGAATTACCCAGGTTCTTACAGAGTTACTAGTTTTAATAGACAAACAGGCCTCTCATTAGGACAGAAAAAGAACCAGCATTAATTAATTCTAACCTAACCGTGATATAAAATAATTTGGTCAGCTTGTGTTTAAGTCCCTTTTCATTGTCTACTTCAGCACATAACCTTGATGTAAGGAGGCTTTCTGAGCACTGACTTCTTTGGGGCTTTCATAAAGACTGCCAGCAAAGGAAGAGGATGTACTAGCTTGATTCAGATAAAGAAGAATCTGCTTAGCATCACTGTACCTGGTTCATTATGCAGTTTTTCCTACCACCTGTCCTAAAGCCTTTTTAATCACACCCACAGATAAAGCTCAGTATGGAACAGTAGTATAAGAACATGTTAACTTCAGCAGAACTGTAACTCTGTCGTCAGCTTTGCCAGCAACATCAGCTGATGCTCCTGAACAAAAAGCAGCGCCCGGCAGGGTGGCAGAGCCTCTGCAGGCACGCAGCTCCATCGCCTGTGCCCCTCGCTTTGCCACGGAGAAGGAGGTCAGCTTGGATTTCCTGCTCGTGCTCACTTGTAAAATGTTCATGTCAAGCTGTCTGCCACTTCTAATTTCCTCTTACCTCTTGCTCTGAGTAGTCAAAAAATAAAAAAAAAGCATAGTTGCACTGTTCCTAATATTTCCAACAAAAAAGGCAGATGGCATTGGGCTATCATCAGTTCAGAGAGTTAGTTGGTGTGCTTGCTTGATAACAGTTAATTTGTCACAGTCCCTTCCTCCTATCTACAACTCAGCCAAGGAAGCAAGCGCAAGCTAGAGCACTGCTCTCTTGGGGAGATAGCAGCAACCATTTCATTTTCTAGGAAGAGTGACTCCAGTAAACACAACCAATTTCCACTCTCCTAAATTTCAAAGAGCAGAAACGTAAAGGATAGCTCTATTCCCGTAAGGAAGAAAAAAAGGAAAAAGCTTGTAGGAAAAGACAGCTCTCAATTTTCTCCTCTTTTATATTTGCTAATATTGTGACTGCACTTCTAGCTCTTTAGTGCCTATCTGAAGGATGTGAAAGCACACAAGGAAGAAACTCTCTCAATATAGTTCTTTTTTATTCATTTTTACACTCTCTAAATTCAAGAGGACAGACAGACATTGTGAACAATCCTTCACTTACTACTTCCTTCACAAAACACCCATTATTCTGACTTTCAGTACAACTCAAATACATTCTGAGTTATTATAAAGACAACAATTCTGCAAGATAACTAATATTCCCAGGCTCCCACTGAAATTAACAGAGTATTTTGGCATTAGGAACTTTGCAGCATCAGGCTTTCACTAAAGATCTCCAAATTTGCCTTGTAGTTTTTTCTATTCCTAGAGTATTCATTTCAGTGTATTCCAAAATAACCATTAAAATTCTTAGGAGCCACGCTCCATGTTGCCACCAAGAAGCGAAAAGAAAATTCAAGTTAGCTTAAGCATTTTTAGAAAACACACGGGAGGAAAGAAAAACATAAATTCACATGGGTGGGGAAAAAAGCAAATCATCTGTTCGTAAAAACATATGAAAAAAAACTTGACATATTTTAGAATTATACTAAACCCAGAATTTATAGTATTCCTTCACAATTAAAAAAAAGTAGGATCATTGTTACATCATTTTCCAGTTCTTTGTTTCTCAGAGAACTTACAGGTCTGGCAGTGATTCTCTGTGGGTCCCCAGCACCGGCCTGTGCAGGATTTGTGGCATCGACCACCTGCAGGGCAGACAGAAAGACAGAGATTAGAAATGTGGCATCCTGTCATTTCTTCCACCTCCAGCAACTGCTGAAGAGGAGGGTCCATCTTGTCTTTAGAGGAATTTTTATGCCCTACCAAGGTCAAAACAGCGCCTGAAAAAAAAGCCTAGATAAATAGCCAAAATTGGTGACAAATATATATGAAATATAGGTACTTATTTAAGTGCTTTATACCCTAAATACCTTTCTGCTATGTATAATGACTTGGATATTTTAAAACAGAGAAAGATGAACAAGTCTGGAGGACTGAGGAAAAAATTCATCACCCAGTGCTATTACTATTGTTCTCTATGTCCTGTGTAAGACCCACTCATTCCTCCACAGAAGGGATGGCTGTGCTAGAGAGGATCTCTCTCTCTTTTTCTCTCATCTGAACAATGGGGCGATAAGCTTAGTGCCTTTGATTAAATCCAACCCCCAGCCCCAAAAGCTTGCATAGTCTTCATGTCCAATATGAGGCTTTGATGCAACATGGTCCAGTGGAGGGTGTCCCTGCCCGCAGCAGTGGGGTTGGAACTAGATGATCTTTGAGGTCCCTTCCAACCCAAACCATTCTATGATTCTATGATATCATGGTAAAGGAAATGTGCCCTGGTACAACCACTTAACTCCAGCGACAGCTAAGCTCACGGGACTTTTCCATTTCTGACTGCTGATTCTCTAGTTGCCTGCGGTTGTGCTTCTGAAGGAACCTCTTCAGAACCTAGAAGTGATGCTCTACATCATCCTTCCACATGCTGACAGGTTTAGTCAAGAGAAAAGGAACTGTAGGTGCTTTCATTGTAAAATACAGAGGGAGGAGGAAGAGCTAGCAATGGTAGCTTTGATAAACTTGTAAACTACCTAGTTATTAGCAACTGAAACCCGCTTAGACTAAAGAGGGAGTTGAGTTCGTATCTTCCAGTTCATGGCTAAATGCTGACCACTGTGCAAGGAAATGGAAAGCAGGCAGAAGGACTGGCACGTTCTCCTCTGGCTGCATCTTATGTTACTTGGGAAAGCACTCGGACAGTCCCACGCCAGTTCTGACTGCGAGCGAACGGAGACCTCATTCCGCCAGAGCTCAGTCACACTCCTGCTCTTAGTGCTTCTCCCTCCCGAATGCTGGATGCTCCCGGAGCATGCACAGAGAGCCTGTCTTACTGCACCCCACTCCCCACCTCCTACAACCCAGGTGTGGCAGTGCCTGAGGTGTAGGCAGCCAAGCCCTTTACACTGAGCCAGACCTGAAGGGATAAACTGAGAAACCCAACATAAGCACTGTTAAAGACTATGCACAATCCTTACTGCTGCTCGTTTGACCACAGGAACTAAACCTCGTATTTGATTAAACTTTTATTCATCACTGAATACTGCTGAAAATCTATTAAGCGAATTTCCCCTTTGAACCTGATCCAGAAGCTTACCTTTCAATCCTGTATTAACAGCAGCTGCTGTTAACGCTGCTCCATTACACTAAACCAAATACTTCCCACGCGCCCTGATGGGAGATAGCGTTGGAGAAAGTGCAAAATGTCTCAGCTAAGGTTGGATCGCGCCAAAAGAAAACACTGCTCCTCTGCTAGCAACGTGTTTATACCTACGAGATGTTACGCAGTTGAGTGAACCCGCTGGGATAGTTGTGTAAAGTCGGACTTTCTGTCACTACTTCTTCAAAGCTAGTGTTCTTCCCTCAGCACTCGCACAGCATTCATGGTGCTATTGATGATGTTGTGTGGTAATTACCACACTGTATGCCAACTACCTTGTTAAGACTACCAGTTCCTTGCTGCATTCATGTTCATTTAAAGCAATTATACTTGGGAAGCGTTGTTGCTGACATCACCAGCACATAATTTGCTGTCATGTTCTGCCATCTGTTTATTTAGATCACAAATGTACTATAACTACATAATGCAAACTCATTCTGGCTGACAGGGAGGGGACTCCATCTGGCATGAATAATGCAACTTTAATCAGTAATAACGATTATTATGATTATTAAGAGACTACTGGAACCCTGTGCAGAAAGCAAATACATCCATATTGATTTATAAGAATGGAAGTTTAAAAAGAAGGTGAGGTTAACAGCAAATTAAGGGAAGAATTTTAACAGAGGAGACTTAGTAGAATTAAGTTTGTTTGTTGGCTTTGGTGCTCAACCAACTGAATAAAAATGATCCCCAGGAAGTGGGTTTTGTAAACCGGCTATCACTGACCACCAAAAGTGGGAAGGAAGGAAGGAAGGAAGGAAGGGTAGGGCCCTAGATGCTCATTCAGACAACCTTTCCACCACTTGCTTTGCTTGGTCCTCATCTGAGCAGGAGCATCCCTCCTGGGGGCAGTTAGGGAGGAACCACAACCCAAGGACAACACAGCCTCCTCTTGCAAGACTATTTTATGCCCAATCCTTCTTTGCAGTCAAATCTCATGCCTGTCTAGCATAAGGGGTCTGGAGTTTAGGGAGAAAGCCAGAAATCTTGCAGCTAGGTGCAGTATAAAGCACTGCATGGATCACTTGTAACCACATATTCCTGGGGCAGAACAAGGCATCAGCTTGGCTGTTTCTTCCTCTTTCTGTCCCTGGATTCTACCCCCTTCCAAAACATACTGTATGCACTGGGCTTTCCACTGCAGTACGTGCAGTGAGATAACTCAGAAGAAACTTCAAGCACCCCTCCAAGTGATCTTAAACTAGAGAGGCTGCCAGACACTTCTGCAAAAGCTACATTTAAAATAAAAATCTTCATATTTGAAGCTCCTAGGTGCTGAGCTGACCCTCGGTACACAACCAGAAAGGTATTCAGCCAACTCTACTCCTCCTGGAAATAAAAGTGATCCAGCATCTTCAAAAATAATTTAAAAAAAAATTTTAACTTGCACGCCTGCTTCGTGGTACATAACTTTGGCAGTGTCAGATGATCATTTGCATTTAAATAGAGATATTTAACAATATAGCAAGAAAAGGCTGCCAGTTTTCTTTTTTCTCATTGGGAACTCAAAGTATCTGCTTCATTGTTTTCACTTTTCTCAGCTGCACAGACACAACAAGGAGCTGAGCTTGTAGGCAGCACACCTCTGAATTGCACTGTTGCATGTCCTTTTGAAGGTCAAATATACTGAGAATTAAAAAATGAACTCCCTCTAAATAGGGCATCTGTATTGGTTTGTTTAAAAAGAAAAATAACTTTCTTTGCTGCCAGTATGAACTGGTCCAGATTCTGCCCTTATCTAACTCGGTACTTCACCTGTTTTTCCCCACTGTAATAAGGACAGATTGCTACCCATTAAAGATCAGGTCTGTAAATCTAACACAAAAATAGTCCCATGGAAGTCAACATAAGTGGCCAGGAGCATAAGGAGCATTCATGTGAGGTGAGGAACAGGTCTCACGATTAGATCTGTATACCAGGCTTAAACGATAATAAATCTATTGGCCCCAAGACTGACGAGGTCCTTGAAATAATTATACTGCTTCTTACAGATCTTTCTGTATATATTTCTTAGGATATTTAGATCATAGTGAACCAATAGATTTGAGAAAAAATTATCAAACAATTCTGGGCATAAAATAAATTATTCCTGTTATGCCTTGTGTCTCTAAAATATTCCAAAACCCGCCAACATGCAGCAGTAAGGACTAAAAGAAACAACTAATGAAGAAATGGCAAACCATGAACCCACAGAAGTGTTCTTCCTTTTGTTTTGATGCAGCAGAGAGTAAATAAGTAGAACTCCTTCCCAGGATTTCCTCCACTGGTCCTTGACATCAAAAGAGGCTGAGTGTCCTAAAGTCCTGGTGGCAAGAAGCAGTGAGACACCTCAAACTTCCCAAGAGGAGAAAAAAGCCCATCTGTAACAAGTCATCATATGTTCTTATTACAATCAAACAGTGATTCAAGAATTAGCTACAATTTGGGGAAAAAAAAAAGAAAATAATCTACTGGGCTCTACCTTGTAAGGGCTACTTTGCACTTTCACTAAATTATTGCAAATTAGTGAAGGCATATAAGAAAATGTTGTGGTTTTTTCTCTTTTCTAAATGAGATATGGTGAGGAAGAACCTAGAAAAGTCTCCTGCCTCGTTACAGATGTGACGATTGAGTACATTTCTGCTCCTGAATAGTAGCATTGTTTTATATACACGATGACATGTTATTCATTAGATTGCAGAGGAGGAGGGAAGGAGTTAAAAGGAAGCTTGCATAATTTTTACAGGGTTTGTGATGGAATCCAAGTTTAGAAAGGGCAGATTCCCACTGGAACATGAGAATGAATTTTGCTTTGGCAAATTCCATGCAGAAAACCAATGGCTCGTCTCCTGGTCTTGTCTTCCTTTAGCCAATACTACAACAGATCTTCATTAAGGACTCTGGTGCAGACTATCATTGTTGTAACTTCCAGGATAGAGTTTTATTTCCAGGAGATACTTCTGCTCTCCCAGCCGGGGAAAGTGACCAGCAGAAAACATTTGCTCACTAGCTTGGGAAAGACCAAGGTTACTTCATCCTTGTGCTTTCCTGAGAATTGAGAAGACTTTCCTTTGACTCCAGACTGACTTTATTATTTCAGGAACAGTAAAACCACAAAGGATTAAGTTACTGACAAGACAAGAAAAATGAAGTCCTCCTCTTAGCTCTAAGCTCAGTGTAGTACAGAGAAGAAACACTGCTTCTTCCCCATCATCTATGCCAGCTGCCTCAAGCAGACCTCTCTCAGTAGGAGAGGGAAAGCAGAAATAAGAGAAGAAATGGTCTCACTTTGCACAAAGCTTGCATTTACAGATGGTTTCTATCAGGTTAATAAATCATTAATAAATGTTAGCATATCTGCAACACACTGATACTGAAGTGTGAATAAACACAGCTGAAATAAAGTGGCTTTGATGGTTACAAACCACGGTTATAAGCAGCCTCTTTCCTTACCTAACAGTCTGAAATAATTGATTAACTATCAAAACACCTATAAATCATTTATTA